GATCGAATTAACGAGGTTCGACTAGTAAGAATAAAGGCGAACTGAAAGATTCTGTGCTGGCGAACACACGTTAAACCATTCCTTTCTGGCAGCACACTCATCAATTGCAAATAAAATTTTTACCGTCAATTTCGTTCTGCGTGGAAAATATTCTGTTGCGTAAAAAAATTGTGTCCTGGCCATTACATCAAATTTATTGGCTGTGGTTTTGAGGTTCACTGTTCACTGCTCCTTTTTTTGAGGAGGCTACATTTCAATGTCATATTGACATGTTCGTATGATGATTTTTTGTAAATGTTGTTTATGTATGCAGAGGATTGATCATGTAGGTGTATTATTGATTATGCACTTGTTTGTTATTGTTTTGTGAAAGCTATTTATATACGCCTTCTGGAAAGACAAGTCCTTTTTTGTGGATGGCTGCATTTCTGATAAACCCCACGAAGTTGTTATTTTTGAGGATGCCTTTTCGAATGTGATCCTCTTTCTAACCTATCCAAATGCGATGTCGAGAGTACTGTACTGTATTTCGAATTACAGTATCGTATCTCATCAGGGGATGATGTGTGAATTGTCAGTTGTACCTTGTAATTGACGCTGCCCAGCATTCAGCAGCGCTTCCGTTTCCGTGCAGTTCGATAAATTAAAGGTCATGTTAATTAGGATAGTCCTGATTTAATCAGTAACGTCTAACTATAGTACGGCTTCGGTAGCTGCACTCGTATGCTTAATATACGACTGACTATAAAATTTAAATCTAGTGGCGCACTTGCTTCTTCCCCAAGATTATATAGGCATTATCTGCGAAGTTGAGAAGTTCGCGTGCGACATTTAAATATATTAAAAGAAAGAATTGGTACTCAGTTGTTGAATGATTGAAATCGGCCTCATTTCTTGCCAGATTTCCATCATCTGCTCATTCTGTTGATGGATGCTAGGACAAATAATGCAAATAAAGTACTGTACTGAAGAATAATCTGGTTCGATGCTAGCCCTCATGCTACGATCAGTTGATTTCATCTTATACTGTATTGAAAAAATTGGTTTTACGTTCAGCACAGTATTGCAAAAGATGCGTGAAAATAAGAGCTGAGATAGTCTTGCAATTTTGGATGACGCCATAAATTATCGAAGCAAATTAGCATTAGCTTAAACTTGAAATAAAATTTGTACGAGGGTAATTTTACTCACGTTTGCAGCTTTCGCCAGGACAAAACCAGTTTCCGGGAAACCCTGACTTTCTGTTGATGCTGCGAGAGTTCAGTGAAATGAGAGGATGATTTTATTCAGATCTTGTTTTCCGATTAATGATACGTTGTTAGAGACGTTTGGAGTGGACTTGCAACATTACAAACATTGATAATATACCTATGAGAAAATGTATTGTGCTGTACTGTGCATAAATTTCATGTCTTGTTCCTAGCATTGATGAGATGTATGAGAAGATCAGAATTTTAACAACGAATTAAATAGGGTGTATTCACACGACAGAGTGCCATTTATTTGCTTCTATTTGAAGGCGGCACGCAAAACTTCTCGACTGAATTTTAATCCAGTTTACGCAGCCCTAACTCTTCCCCTTTCCATGTTGTGCTGTACTGTACAGTACTTTATGAGCAGCATTTCCTTGGTGTACTATTTACTGTACTTAGAAGATGTCTCACTGAAGTGGCATCATTCGTGCATTGCATTGCTTGGACTTGAAGCCCAAACCATTAATGTGCGTGACCTTTGAATTTTCCAACCGCTGGACGATATCGATGCCTTGTGATTACCTCATTGCTGATGCATAAATTAATTTTTTTATTTAATATTTTTTGAACGAGTGAGATCTTGGGATAGTAAAGAAGCTTATTATTGGCGATGCGTGCGTTTCATTGATTTGCATTCCGGGTGATGGGTTGCTGCTTGGTTGTGTGAGCTGGGAAGACGTGTGGCGGGAAGTGGGTTGAGACATATCGAGGGCGAAAATTCAGCCCCGTAATGGACAGATGGATGCCCTGGAAGCCAATTTAAATTACTCGCGCGGTGCAGTATCCTGCTGGGTCCTTTTCCGGCATCTCTTTTTTTCTCTCTCTCTCCCTCTCTTTCCTTCCAGCACCAGTTCTTGAGTGACGACTCTTCGTGATACTGTGGTAATCTTTCGATGGGTGGGTGGGTGGTTGGTTGGTTGGTTGCTTGTCTTCCAGCCTTATTGTAGATACTCGCGTGTCTCATCGTATGATGGCTGAATGGGAGAAGTATACTGCACTGTATTGTACTGCTGAACGCGAGGTTGGCAACCTTGGTGCTGCTGCTGCTGCTGCTAAGTGACTATACTGATCGACGATGAGCAAAAGGGAACGAGGAAATCTGCAAGTTGCATTATTGAATCTCAACAGCATGTGTGTATGTACTGTATATGTAAATAGATGCATGTACTGCTGTATACTGCATGTACTTCAAGATCCCGGATGAAAAATTCTTCGGGTTATGGGGGTTTCGAGTTGGGAAAGCGAGCATTTTTGTTGTGGGGAAGAACCATCAATTAAAAGAAACCGTGTTTGGTGATATTCTGGGGCTTGAATCACTTCTCAGATGAGTTTTCGCGAAAAGCAGAAGTTGAGGGGAAGGGTTTTTTTTTTGTTGCTCAATTGATCTTTCACTTCCTTAGAAAATAAATGCCTCGAGTATAATTTGTTTTGCTTCTTTATTTCCTGCGTCAATAGAATAATATCCTGTAGACCTCCTGCCGAAAACTCGAATTGTGAAGTTTTGAGTGAGAAATAGATTTAATGCAATGATTGTAAGGGAATTTGGACAGTGGCCTGAAAAAAGTCGACATAAAATGATATTCCACTTCGTGATGATCGAATTAACGAGGTTTGACTAGTAAGAATAAAGGCGAACTGAAAGATTCTGTGCTGGCGAACACACGTTAAACCATTCCTTTCTGGCAGCACACTCATCAATTGCAAATAACATTTTTACCGTCAATTTCGTTCTGCGTGGAAAATATTCTGTTGCGTAAAAAAATTGTGTCCTGGCCATTACATCAAATTTATTGGCTGTGATTTTGAGATTCACTGTTCACTGCTCCTTTTTTTGAGGAGGCTACATTTCAATGTCATATTGACATGTTCGTATGATGATTTTTTGTAAATGTTGTTAATGTATGCAGAGGATTGATCATGTACGTGTATTATTGATTATGCACTTGTTTGTTATTGTTTTGTGAAAGCTATTTATATACGCCTTCTGGAAAGACAAGTCCTTTTTCGTGGATGGCTGCATTTCTGATAAACCCCACGAACTTGTTATTTTTGAGGATGCCTTTTCGAATGTGATCCTCTTTCTAACCTATCCAAATGCGATGTCGAGAGTACTGTACTGTATTTCGAATTACAGTATCGTATCTCATCAGGGGATGATGTGGGAATTGTCAGTTGTACCTTGTAATTGACGCTGCCCAGCATTCAGCAGCGCTTCCGTTTCCGTGCAGTTCGATAAATTAAAGGTCATGTTAATTAGGATAGTCCTGATTTAATCAGTAACGTCTAACTATTAATGTTCGTTGGTAGGGTCATGCTGCGAGTTTGCCCGCTCTTCTATTGAGCAACAGTTCGCTGTACGTGTATATATATCATTTGGAATGGGTTCGGCTGCGTTTGGGAAGAATTATGGAGTTTTGTTTGCTCATCAGGTGTGATGGGACTGCCTCGCAGTTCTTAAAACCAACTGTTGTCGGTTTCTCGCTAATTGCGTTGTCAGATTTGCCCTTGAAAAAAAAAGTGGGTCGCCGCATGCATGCAAGCAGGCAGTCAGACACCCGCCGTCGTTTCGATGATACTCTGAATGGATGTCTGGAGTGCTTCCCTTCTCGGTAGTTGGTGGTGATGCATCTACATGTGTGGCATGATTGTCTTCTCCTATGCAACAACTAACTCGTGTGTATATACAGCGATAAGAGGGGTCTAACCGTGTTTTCGAAGTATACATTTTAACGGCATCCGATTGAGCTGAAAAATGATTACTGTTCAGGAAAAAATTCTCTTGTACAAAGAAAAAGTCAGCCATGTTTCACAAAATTTTCAGAACATTATTGCCAAACTATAAACTCTTACAGATTTCTCCTTTTCTCTCAGAAGAGGAGTCGCCGCGGTGACTTATTTTTTGGTCTACCCTAGCCTCCCTTGCAGAATTTTCGAGATTGACATGTCCCTAATTCCAAGGTTTGCTGTCATTAATTGATTATCGTATTTACTCCAGTACCACACGCACCGTTTTTTCTGAAATCTGAGGGGAGAAAAGGGGTTGTGCGTCGTAGGCGGGGATGAAATTAAAAAATAAATGCTGGGTGTTCTTGTGTGGATCACACAGGAATATGATGGGGAAATGTTTGACAGGAACTTTTTAAAGGCTAATAGAATCGAAACTTGATTGAATTCAGGTCGAATTAATCTCAATTTTGGATCCTGGTGTCTCTGATTTTCGAAATACTGTATTGTACTGTAGATGTTTAGTTACCAAAAATGAGGTTGCGTGTCACACTGTTACTCGAGTAAATATGGTATTGATTCCGTCACTTCCAGCAACAACCGCCACTTCGGACGGGGATTTGGCGGCAATCCTTGATCCTAATGCCTCGCAGATTTCAAAAATTCTGACGGACGAGGTGGGCTAAAAAAAAAAAAAAAAAAAAAATCTGCGAGATGGGAGCCGTGTCTTTTGAGTCAAGAGAATAAAGCTGCCAGGGTGACTTTTGCACGCAAAAAAAAATATGAATACAGAAATATTCGGAACTGGACTGCATATTTCTCTTTTGTGTCGAAGAATGTTTTTTCTGCACAATGATTGTTCTTCAGCTGACTATGAAAGGCAGTTTCAATTTCTATCTCTCGAACTTTCGTTTTGCCCCAAGCTAGTATGCTGTGTACAGTATTTGCCCACCCGGTTGGTGGGCATGCGGTGAACGCAAAGAAAGATGTTCTCCTGGTTGCGTGTTGCTCGTTTGGCCCGGCATGATTTATGTCCCTTTCGACCTGTCGTGTGCGATTACTGGTCGGGAGAATCCGTCACCCGGGCCCATGAATAATTCACTTGTCTTCCGGGACTTGTTTGCAGATTCCGTGTGGCGTCTCGAGTCGAGTCGGACGAAGGATTTGCGTCGCGAGTCGGGTCGCCGACCCGTTTTGCGAACCGGTTCCGTTTTGGTACGAGTGTCGACGACGACGGCGACGAGGACAACAACAACAACAACAACGAGGGAGAAGGAGGAGGAGGAAATAATGTGAGTACTGTTGTACAAATAATCGGGTGTCAATTTTTAGCCGAAAAATGGCCATGTTCAGTACCGCGTGCTGTACGGTATACAGTATTGTATTATTGAAGCCGGTTTCGCTTCATAGTAGTTCGGGAAACCCCCTTTTTTCCCGATCATATAGCACTGTGGAGTATTGTATTTGATTGCGAGGGTCTGGAATTTTCTATTTCAAAAAATTTCAATTCTGATTCTGCGTGTGCACAATCGCCTGACCCTTCCCTTTCGGCTTGTGAGAATCATTCATTTCATGTATGAGGGAGGTTATTGTTTTTTTCTTATTCTATCTGTGCAATCATGTGGTTTTTTTAAGTAATGTGTGATCCAAGAAGTGTGATCGAGCTGGGTGCAATTAATTTGCCTGCTTCGGTCTTGGAAATCGTGCAATGTTCTGCTTTGGATAATGGTCAAAATGTGTGAGTCAACCCGAATTGCATCCTCCTCCTCCTCCTCTTATCGTATTGTTACCTCACGTGTCGTGGGATTCGTGGCAGAACCGCATTGACCGAGTTTGAGGTCACACTTATATAGATGAAGGGAAGGGAACTGATTTGTATCTTTCAAGACGTTTGGATTTATTCTTCACTGATTCTGCGAACATCTCGTTCAAGGGCGACTTTTTTTTTAGTGCACAGTAACTGATTATACGCATTACTTTCATTCCTGATTCTGAGTTATACTGCTGGAGGTCTATTGAACTTGAATCATCCCGGAGAAACGTATCCGATTTCTTCTGATCTAGCCAACTGAGGATGATGTAAAATTGAATATGGGCGAAACCCGATGTCTGGGACCTACATTTTGAAGTCTGGAAAGTGAAAAGACGGGATCGGGGTCGGAGCTCATTAAATATAGTACAGTATAGGATACTACTTTGTAAGTACTACAGAGTGTATATGGCCAAACAAAAAAAAGCATAACTTTTCATGCATCCGCTATTTCGTAATGATGAGGGGAAGTAATTTAGTAAAGTACAGCAGTACTGCACTGTACTTACAGCGTCAGATTTTTTCTCATTACCGTATTTCAACGATAGCTCCGGGGGGCTAAAAAGGGGATATGTTCACTTCTGTTCCGCACGCTGAAGAACGATCAGATTGGAGAGCGTCTCTGCTGGCAATAATGCACTGGTGTTGTGCATTCGTGTCTCGAAAATTAGATTTATGCCGATCGATGCCGTGATTTCGGGATATATCTCATGTCCGTTGTGCCGCTGCTGTGCCCGGGACTCGTACGAATAAAGGGGTAGGGGTTGGAGAAGTACTGTACTTCACGAATCCTCCTCTCAAAGACCTTGATGCGGTTGCGCAATACTGTCTGTACCCACTGCATTGGCAAAGGCAGTGGACCGGAAATTCTGAATAACCTGCTGCTGCTCTCGTCGTCGGAACTTATTGGGAGTCGGTGTTATATTCTGGGTTAACGATTTCTCCTCCATAAGAGAGAGAGAGAGAGAAAGACGGAAAGAGCTGAGTGGGCTTTTTGGTTGTTTTTTTTTCTGTTTTTTGGGACAAGTGTATATGTTGAAGGGAGTTGGAGTTGAGCGAAATCGTCTTGATTTTGGAATGACGGATTCTCGGCTGGGGTTCTGCAGCCCGCGTGCTGAGTTATTGATGACTGGGTTGCCGTGGGCGAGCTGGATGCCGGCCCCGGTGCTTGAGAGGGCGCTTACCCTGGTTACCGAATTTGGGAACGGATCCCGGGCCCCGACGCTATTTCTCATGCTTTGAGTCCCGTGATGGATTCGGCGCGAGAATGCGTCGTGATTGAAAGAGCATAAATCGGGGTGTTCGCTACTCGGTGATGCATGATCCCGTCGGAAATGCACCGTATATATTTATATATATATATATATAAATACGCGAGTCGAGTCTTTTTTTTTCTTTTCTTTTCTTTCTTGCTCATTTATTTATTTATTTTTTTCATTTTTATCTCGCCTTCTTGAACGTCTCTTCGTCGATTAGGAATTTATGGCTTGGTTCTGAAAACTGATGCATCACTGATAACATTTTTTTCTCTCTCTCTGTCATGTCTTGAGATTTATGCGAATCATTCCTTTATCGAAGGTCTCAACTTTCAGCACATTTTCTTTCTCATTTTATGTATCTCTTCCGCTGGCGTGAAGATAGTCCGGGTATGATATGTTCTGAAATGAGAAAATTTGAACGTTTATAAACAAAATCGGGAAGCAGAGCGCACGCGTAAATCTTGCGAACAAGAAAAAATGAATTGATGAATTGTAAGAGCAAACGTCAAGATGTGACGCGGTTTCTCCACAAATCAAAACTTACCGACCATGCTGCCCTCGTAAATTTATCACTGAGAGAAAAGTTCTGAGCTGAAAATTTGAAAATGCTCAATCGAAAGAACGATGCGAGCAACGAGGAATTAGTAGGGAAAAGCGCGAAGTGATGGTTGTGAATCAAGTACAATAGTTCGAACATTTTAACAATACGCTGGACTATAAGAGCATGGTATCGTGAATTGTTCCCTGCGCGCAGATTCTGAGCTTGAAAGGGTGGACCTATATAGAAAGACCGGATCAACTGTTCCATGATAATGCCATAGTTCCACTGCGAAAAAATTGTCATATCAAGAGTACTCTTATTTACCTTTGTAAATCTAATTAATGTACAGCGCTTTACATTATTTCGGGGCATTACGTGAAATAATACTGTATAATCGATGTGGTCATATTCGACGGAAGAAAATCTGTGTGTTGAAAATAAATTGAATATAACTTGTTGAAAATAACCCACGTGATTTTTTGTCCATGCTTTTTTCAGTATCCTATACCTTTTATACATGTTTCAAGTCACAATTTTCTCCGAAATTCATATGAGAGTTTCGGAAGTTCCCCACTTTCCTGCGCACAACGCACAGTATGTTCCACGCTTTCAAAAAAAAAAAAAAAAGCTTCGCTTCCTTTGCCTTCGCAGTTTTAGGCCTGCGTTGGATAAGTTCTCTTGGAGTCTAAATGGGGTAAATTTCATTAATTAATTCCGCTTGTGGTAGAGAATAGCAGCAGTTTGTTTTTTTTTTGTTTTTTTTAGCAAACAAAGGAAATTTCATTTTTTGTACTCTACATTCGGATAACCGGCGCTAATTCGGATAACTCGGAAAGTAGAGAGCATTTGATGCCAGAAAGCATGTCTAAGCAATTTTTAAAAGTAGAGTACTGTGTATTTTTGACGTAACCTTGACTAAACTAATGCTTGTGACGTATTGAAACGGTGATTAATTTTTTTTATATGTGACGATAGCTTCGATCAGGTAGGTAGAACAGTATGAAAAATCAGTGCTGTATGTACAGAATTTCTTTGTCCACCGATTGTGTGAAATTGGGAGAATATTGCTTTTAGCCCCTATGATGTGTCATTTTCATTTCTTTCAGAGTTATGGTTTGCTCAAATTTAAAGATGAAATACGGTCTTCTGAATAAGAACAGAAGAGGCGTGTGACGTAAAAATTTCTCCTTGAAATATTTTTGTAGAAAAAAAACATTTGAACCAAAGCCGTTTTTTTGAAATTTCGAACTCGTTTTTAATAAATGCCATCATACGAAAGTACTGTACTAAAATTTTTATCGGCAATTCGAAGGCGCATTATTCTATTTATGATGATTGAAAGCTGATTTTGGAATTTTTCCGTAGGCGAGAAAACGCTTTTCGAGCATTATTCCGCATTTTTTCCTGACTGTAAGGTGCTCTTCTGTTCTTTTATGAAGTGACAGTTATAGCTTTTTTTTGTTGTTGCTTGCCGGACGATTTTCGACACTCTCGTATAGCCGTCCCGTAATATATCTAGTACATGAGCTATAAAATCTCGCTGATTGGCCTCCTGCAGCTTTTTCCCTCTTCCCTTTTTTCCTGTCTTCGCGTGAAAACCCGAATTGCTGACGGTGGATTCAAACGAGCAAATTGGGGAGTAAATCGTCAAAAAATTGAGGAGGCGTATCAATTTCGGATTCTACGTGGCCCCACGGGTGGGCGGTCATCAGGCGGAAGCGCGTATGGAGGAGATGGATCGGTTTGGTCTTGAGGACTTCATCCCGTCCCTTGGCTTCTAACGTTGGCGCTGATGGACGATTATGAACCGATGCGAGCAAGTGCGAGGTTGGTTGCAAAAGGAAAAGGACCGACAATAACTGCCGCTCTTCAGGGCACGCAGAAGCCACTATTTATGCAGACGTGTTATTCCCACCAAAATACCGCAGAATCTCGTCTTGATTAATACATTACCTGTATTTTCTCGAGTACCACGCGCACATTTTTCTTTTATTCTTCTCAAAATCGAGGGACAAACGAGGGGATGGGCGTCATTGACGAGTACACAATTTTTGAAGCTTTACAAATTTAAGTGTGCATCATATTTGATTAAGAAATCTCGGACCAACTTCAGCATAAAAACTCACTGTAATGGAATTGATTGAAAATTAGTTCAATGCAGTTTCAAATTATGTCTAAATCCGAATTTGGGTACAGTACTCTTTTTTTTAAACTTGCAGTTTCAGTGTCACTGGAAATCGGGTTTGCGTCTTACTCTGGGACAGAATTTCATGAAAAATTTTGACAGAAGAACCCTGGAGCGCGCCTCACTCGAGGGCGCGTGGTTCTCGAGAAAATACGGCGGTCTCTTACAATGAGTTATATTTTATGTCCCTGCCCAATATAGCAAGGGTGTTTAATGAGTTACTTTCCGAGGAATTTTTTATTACCTCAAAGCTACCGTATTTTACTTGTCCCAATAGCCTCATAGTAACATGATTTTACAGTAATGTACAGTGCTTTTAAAATGAACAAACGCTTTATGCAAAACAAGACCTTCTAATAGACTCCTTCGTGCAGTATAGTTGTACATACCTTCAAAACTCGAACCTCCTTCATTCAGATACCTCGCTGTGTCGAATTAAAAAAAAAGCCATTCGAATTCCCTTGAAACCGTTGCGTGAAGAATCTCCTCAACTCGAAGACGTTCCTCCTCAAATCCCAATGGCTCTAATTTTCTAGAGACCCCGTGGGATATTAAAGTACAGCAGTATTGTATTGATTCAGGAAAGAGAGAAGAAATAAAAGTTTAACTTAATGCATTAGGTGAAGGAGTAGAAGACTAACTAGGCAACAAACAAAAAAAGCCTTGCCTCCAAGTTCAGGATCGGGTAAACTCATTGAAGGAGCAATTTAAGACCCGGAATATCACCAATTCTAATTTTCTTTAATTCTTCGTTTTTTCGAAACCCCCTTAACTGGAAGTTTTTCGCTGGTCACTTGAAGGTTGACTCGGAGAGATTCGAATGTGTATATTCTGTCAATGTCAGAAATACTTTCTGTAATACAGTATGTGGTCACTAAGCTAGTGGAATGTGGCATTTTTTCGATGAAACATGGAATACTGTTGACTGAAATAACGTACCGTATATC